CTGGATCCGCCTCTGGTTTGTGAACGCTAGGAGAGTTGATGTTATCAAATCTCGAGTTTGAAATAAGGCCATTTTGAGACTCCGACTACAAAAAAAACTGATATTTTTTACTTTTCTCCAAAACAAAAGGTTGATTGCTGGAACAATTTACTTCAGATTACTTATCTACCTAAAAGCTATCTAAGGAAATGAAGGAATCAAATCGATTTTTCAACTCTTGCCACTCGATGGTCGATATTTCCTGACCCTTGCTCTTAAAACTTTAAGATTCTGAGGAAAAAAAAAGGAAATAATTTAAAGAGCATTGCCATCCATTTCATCCACTGCGAGTGGCGAGACGTTGCAAGCAACCGCTGAGGCTGGATTATCACCTACTCTTTATTCAAACGATACATCGTGAAAAGCCTGTATATTACACCTAGCTTGATGTCAGCTTCGAATATGATTAGAAAGCAATGCCACCTTGGTGCGAAAGTTGAAGAATGTACATCTAAAGTCGATTTTAGGGCTTACAAATGCAAGAAAGCTGTTGTTGTTTACCTAGGTACGAATAACATAACAACTGATGGCTCACCGAAGACCATTGCAAGTAAATTAACTGAAGTGGGGAAGGTGACTCAAAGCACTGAGTGCTCAAGCCCCAAGAATTATCATTTCTGGCATCATCTCCAGGAGGGACATTACGGTAGTCTTTAAAATAACTGACACATACTAAATAGCTTCCTTAAGGCATTAGATACTAAACAAAACCACCAAAGAGACGTTTTTGGACCAAGGGCAACCATCAAAATTTTTGGAAGAGCAATTGAAAGCTCTTCTTACCTCCTTGATACAAGGCCATCTATAAATAACTAGGAACACGTTTCCGCAAAAATCTCGCCAAGCTGAAAAACGGAAACAAGCCAAAGGGTAAAAATACAATGAAAGAAAAAAAGAAAAACGAACAAGAAAAAGTCCTGGAAGTAGCCCCGCCGGGATTCGAAACTGCACCCCAACTTCCTCCAGCGCAAATTAAAAAAAGTGAGGTCTCATACCACTGGGCCATGCTACCAATGCACAGTAAAGTTATGAAAATTAATAGTATTTTTATCTACCATTCGCACAGTTTGAACCTTGCTTGCTGTATTTATCATGAATTCAAACTGAGACTAACATGACTCGAGTTTTCGCGCCCTTTCATCTACTGTTGCTGACTTGGTCAGAAAAGAAAACTTGTCAAACTAGTTTACTACGTGAATCCATTTCTTCACAAGTTGTCGTCGGCACTTTCAAACATTTGCTAGAAAAACAGAGATGGAATGACAAATAACCGTGAGGCTTATGATGGTAATCGGTTATTTAAAACGGAATGTCAGTAGGAAAACTGAGCAGAGCACGTTGAGGATGGAAAGACAAAAACTATCCTAGAAATTCAAGGAGTTCAATAAGCTACTCTTAAACAAAGGACTTGAAACCTCATCTTCGCCGGGGTATAAGCATACTAGAGAACGTCTTGTGTCTACCATGTCGAGTTACCTCGCATTACCTCAGAACTAGAGGTGAAGACTGTTCAGTTCCTCAGGGGGGATTGTATTTTTTTTCTTTGACGATTTTCGCCATCACCATCTTTATCACACAACTTCACGTCTGTTTTCAACATCTCTGTTGTATCGCTAGCATAAAGTTTGTATGCTGTATCTATTTTCAATAAATGTCGCATTTCATTGTTGTCCAGACGACTTTAGATTTGAGCGTCTCTCCCCAGTCTCGCTCTCTGTTTTCAGCCTCGATCGAGACCTTTTGTTTGACTGCTCACGCGCACTTGAATACGCAAAAATACGGACTATTTTGCAGTCTTTTTGTAATTTGTACCCTACTGAGTGCACCCCGAAGTAGAATAATAAAGTGCATTACAGTACAGTGCAGTGCAATGCAGTGCATTACAGTATTGTAATAATGCAGAGCAATGCAGTGCAGTACATTAAAGTAAAGTACAGTACAAACAGTACAGTACGTTGCAGTGCAGCGTAGTGTAGTGTAGTACAGTACAGTACGATACAGCACAATCGTTTTATTAACTCTCCGAAAGTGCTGTTCAGAGTTAATTTACAATTAATGAATAAAAAGGAAATTAAAAATAACTTAATATAATAATAGTTGCTGCGGAGCGACCGTAGGGGGCGAGCAGCAACATAATCAGGATTTAAGGGAAATTTATAAGGTGGGACGAATTCTCGAATTCATCACTTTTTAACAGAAAGCATTGCATTTAACCAGACTGCACTGCGCTATTTTTTACCAGAATGCAATGCGCCACGAACAACTCAAATAAAAACACGAGGAATTTCGGTGGGTGAAAGCGTGCATCGTTCTCTTCCCAGACTCAGCGTTTTCTTTGTGACAAATTTTCTACAGCACGGTTAGAGGTCTTACCAAATTTTAGACACGTAGGAGTCTTTCAGATGAGCACGATGGTTAACTTGGATTGGATTTTAATTCAAAAGCCTTTGACTCGTCCAGGCGTTTAACTTGACGAGAAGATGAGCATTTCCTCCTCGACCCCGCAACACGGGGGATATACAAATTCCAGCTTGCTAGAAGGTGATGTGAAAGTGAGAAAATATCATGCAATACTATTGTTAAGAACCTGTATGAGCCGAAAATGGATGTGATTTTGACCCTTAGCTTCAAATTGACAGCGGAAATCGAGATAACAAAACATACCGTTTTGCGTCCTACTTTGCAGACCAGGACGTGTATCGTCGTTTTGTAAAGCATAATTATGTGAGTCTTGAGTTCTTTCATTCATTCATTGCCATGGAATATGCGTTCACATTGTTTTTTAACTGTCAGTTAATAGCTCGGTGAATGCGGCTTGGTCATCTTGCCGTTGGAAGTTTCATGGAAAAGGCATTAAATTAAAGACTTTTCCCCAAAGTTACGTAATCAGCCTCTGTGGTGTAGTTAAGTGTAATCGCATCGAGCCGAAGGTGCTGGGTTCGAGTTTTACTCAACTCTTTTTTTCCTTCTTTCTTTTTTTCCGTTTTTGTGATGTTGTTTTCTATAAATATTTACCTAAATAACTGTTATTTAATGAAGTGCAATAAATAACAAGAAAAGTATAGTGTTTCCAGAGAAAAGATAGTAAACCGTATGTTAAATATATTAAACAATCTGAATTTCTATAATTTCCTACAATTTACTGTAGGAAAACCAGAGTTGATAACCGCTTAATCATTTTCTAAACAACGTTCTTACGAGTTCTTTCTATAGACTGATAGTAATTATTACTTTCCAACATGTAAATAGGACATTCAATGTCATTTTCGATCCTCTGAGTCTCACTGCCTAACTAATGCCGGTACGAACAGAATGTGCCGCAGCATTACTATCTTTTAGATACCCTAGTTTATAGCATGTAAATATCTTAAACTGAAAGATATAATTATTCGTATTTTTATACGTATCCCACATTAATATCAAAAATTATCTTAGAGAAAAAATTCAAGATTAGACTCATAGTTGGTAGATAATTCTTTTAAACTGGCTAGTGATTCACCGTTGGCTGACTACTAAATTTAAACTAGCCGTTTACGAATCGAACATATCCGTTTCAACTCGACTTTTCACACTCTACATCGATAGTCAAAATACACTACAGTGAAATTGTTGACTTTTTGAGCAAAAAAAAAAAATACAAAATAAAAAAGTTATTAATTTATTACTAAACAAACTTATTATTATTATTATTGTTATATTATTTATTATTATTTATTATTATCAATTTATTATTTAAAAAAGTTATTAATTTTCATTTGATTATAACCCTCACTCGTAACATGTTGGCTTCGTTTAATTTATCACTCAGTTCAGTGTAGAAGAATTAGAGTTGATAACGACAAAATTATATAAAATCCTGGGTATATTCTAAGAGACTAAAAGGTTAAAGGGAAAGAAAGCGACGATGTTAATGAACTCATCTTCAGGCCAAAGGACCGCCCGCTAAGCGAACAATTATATATTTTGTTTTATTATTATAATATTTTTTTTCTTAGGTGATTTTCGATAGTAACAAGCCTAGTCGTGCTAGTTAAAAATAATATAGTTTGCACTGTGCCGCACAAGAAGTGTTGGCCAACTAAAATAGGGTCGGATTACCATGAAAGTGACGGGCAGCTTCTAATCGTTATGCAAGGATTTGAGTGTTTATTGATTTGCACATCCGCATCTCATGCTCCCACCGATGTAATTATCACCGATTTTTAAATCTCTTTGTCTTTTAAGACTGAAAAGGCATTTTTGTCACAATACTCAAGTTTCACATGTGCAGAATTATTGAAGGTTTCATTATCCAACAATAGGGACACTGATTGAACGAAAACGTTTATTTTACATACAGAAACGTTTCCCATCGCAAATTTCCTGAAACATCTTACGTACAAAATCTCCAGTTTTGAAATTAATTTGAAGGATAGGATTCATCCTTTTGATAAACATAGTGCATTCTAATTTGACGTTTCTTAACATTGCTTTCTTGGTAAACAATTTTTAGCAGCAGTAGTCCAACTCGTATTTCTATTCTTATTCAAATTAAGGTTTCTGAAAAAAGGTTTATTACACGAGAAATAATACTAATTAAGACTTCTGCAATCGTAGTCAAATACAACGATCTCACTCAAACAGCCTATTGACCAACACGTCGTGTTTGCTTCTGGATCAATTATCACGTCGTTTTACAGAGGGTTTGAAGATGAAAATTGCTTTTTCATAATGAAGCCCATAACAGGTTTATTATTTGTATATCTGAGAATGCTTCTCCATGTTGAAGCAGAAAAAGGCACAAGAATCGAAAGACGTTCCACACTGGGAGCCATTATAACAAAGAAAGGCTTCATTTTACAGGGTTTCTCTTTTAAGCGAGCGAGAGTATCGAGCTTTACCTCGTGTGGCCAGGTTTGTCTTAAAGATCCGAGGTGCGTTTCCACAAACTTTAACTTTCTAATTGAAGACACAAGGTATGGTTGTGAGTTAAACAACGCTGGTCTGCAAGAAGACGTCACCTTGGTACTGCATAAAGGGGTAGTGTTTTCACAGTATGCTTACAAAAAGGTAATCTTACATACATTACATGTCCTTGATAACGAAGAAAAACATAAGAGAAAATAATAACGAAAATTTATATCGGTTTAAATCACACAAATATTCGAAGCCCGTACATTTTTTCTCTAAATCCAACCCGCTCAATACGGACATCCGTTAATCAGGGCCACCCAACGACGGCTTACCCTTAAATACGTTAAAAAGAGTTTTTAGGCTATCTAGAGTACTTTTAGATCTGAAGAAATACATACTAAGGGGCTCTGTAAAATTCCTATCTATTCGGTCATCTTAGGGCAACTTGAGCCTTTTCGAAATTACAAGGGCTTCGAGTATGATTTTCCCGAAAATTTTAGATGCAATTTAACGTTTAACGAAAAAGATAATTTTTCTGATTCCTCTCTACATGACATTTTCGAATCCGAAAAGTTAAGGTTTCGTTTTTCTGCGAAAATAGCCTTACCTGGGCAGTGAAATATGAAAAATTAAACTTCAGGAAATCGTAAGGAATTTATTAGACAAGCTTCGAAAATTTTAAATGAATGGAACGGTCATCCAGAAATTTTTAGCCTTCCTCAAGCTATGAAAGTTCTAGGGAATTTTTGCTTCTCCGAACAGATATTTTACAGAACACAGTCGTTAGGTACCCCTGGTTAATGCGGACAACGGACACTTTTTCCTGTCCCAATCCACAGATTCTTATAGAAAGTCAACCTCGTTAATGCGGACACTTCATTATAAAGTGTGTACGTTTCTATTGTTTGCGCCAGCAAGTACGAAATGGTTAGGATGACGTAAAGACAGAAAATCCCGAAGCAACCGCTCAGGTAGATTTTGTGACAATTATTGTGTAGTCATACTTCGATACTCTTTTGGGTTACGCAGTGACATTCTGTGGAGCAGTTGTTTTGAAAGTTATGGACCAAAAGACACTCGTTAAGTGCAGATGAGGTTATAAGGTGCGTTTAACCGTGTATACTGATAAACACTTGGAGAGTTTGACGGACACGAGTGCACAAATCTTTGATTTATATTGGAAACCTTGCCAGACACTCTTTCTCTCTCTTTGACCGGATAAGATTCAGCCCCAAACAAGCAACACGAGTGAACAACGGCTAGCTTATCACTAGCAGAACCATGGACGATTGCAGAAATTCGCCGACAATCAAATTCTGTGCTGACTTATTCCCTCCTCACAGATGTCCTTCCGTTATAAAGTTTCAAATAAGACTAGAATGCGTGTGCGTGAATCGATCAAACGTCCTTTTAATTTCTAAGGCTTATTACTTTCCGGCGAATAAAGTGAACTGAATGTAAAAAGTGAAAGAGAAATAGCGAAAAATTCAACTTGTAATTAAATCTTTTCTTATGGTTTATAATAAACTATTCTCGAAACTGAGAATGTTTTGATCAAAGCTGTCTAAATCGACCTGAAACTGTGCATGGAAGCTTGCGTTTCCTGTATTTCTCTCACCTATTGTATGGAATATGTGTGAAAATCTTCATTATGAATCGTTATATTTCAAAGAGCTACACAACGAGCAAGAATACTATTGACCGACAACATATACAGAACGGGGGACAGCTGTAGTGTTAACTATTACTAGTATAACTAATGTATAGATGAGCGATGTTTGAGTGTTTCCGTGGATTTAATCCGTGGAATGACAGCTGATGACGGCTGTATGAAACTGTTAGAGATGTATAATTTGACAATACTTGATAAATGTCTTTTTTTTTTTTAATTTCTTTAGAATTTTGCTTTAAATAAAGGTGTTCTATTTATTTATTGTTTTTTTTTACTAATTAACATGACCCGCTTAATACGGACACCCCGTTAATACGGACACTTTCGATGATCGCTTCAGTGTCCGTATTAAACGCCGCTTGAACGCCATTTTGAATTTCGAGCCGTTTGCTATCTAGGCAAAATTGAACTATTTTAATAGTTTATACAAAAAACATGATACAATTACGCATTTTGATTCTTTGAAGGACTACAGCCTGTTGATACAAATTATTAAATTAAGGTAAAGTCAAAAATTTAATTCCGTTTACCATTGTTTAACAGCACACGTTTCATGACATCGATGAAGAGCATACGGAAGGTACAATAAATCCTTTAACCTTTATTCTTGATATGTTTTTTTTTTCATAACTTTAAGTCTAATTGTTGCAATAGTAAACTGCCTGATAACATTCGATCGAACAACATGTTTTATGTATTCTTGTATTTCTCTATCCTCAGAGACCAGAGAGACCCAGCGGCAGATATAATAGTGCGGGCGAGGGAAAGAATAAACGTTTGGACTTCCCCTCGCCACCACTATATACCTCTGGGTCTCCGAGGATGTCTTTGGATAGCCTTGAACGGGAATTATTTTTATTCACTTTTTCCCAAGAAGCCTCATTTCCAGACAAATATATCATCAAATCAATGGTTGCACGCATTTTCCACTTTTCACTTCGGCTGATTATGAAGAATTGCTCGAGAGAATAATAACAAGTTTAATTTTAAACATGGTCCGCCGGGGAGCGTACGGACGTTTTTCTTAACCCTTGACGATGGATTTTGATAATTTTGGCTGGGTAGTTCGTGGTTTCAAATGTGGTATATGTTTTGAGTTATGGCTATATTTTTAAGATTTGACAACAGTGAAAATGAATTTAACATGAAAGCGAGGCTAAAAGATGAAACTAAGCAAATTCTAAGAAATGCACTCCACAAAGAAAACTGACATGCTCATGTATCTCCTTAGACTTCTCCAACACACTTACAACAAAAGCACCGCCGTTTTAATAGGGAGCGATATGATAAAACCCGTTGTTCTTCTGAGATGTAACACAATATTAATGGAACAATTAAAAAAAAAGTTTGCTTTTTGTTTTTTCTTTGCCTGACAATGGATCCTTAAACGAGGAAAACACTCGGTATCATCCACAAAAGACTTTGAAGGTTGTATCATCCGTTGAACAAAGATACCGTGTCACATCTCATAAGAAGCACGGTATTTGTCATATCACTCACTATTAAAACGGCGGTGCTTCTGTTGAAAGTATGTTGGAGAAGTCTAAGGAGATACACGAGCATGTTAGTTTTCTTGTGAAGTGAATTTCTTCCTTACATAAATCAGAGTTGAAAGTCGGAGCGAAAGTACAATTTAAGTAAAAGTGACACTTTGCAAACTCGCTTCCTCAGTAAATTTTTCATCACATCCAACTCAAACTAGCAGGCTCACTTGTATCACGAAAATAGGACTGTTAACGCTGTTGTTGATAATGACTGACATTTCGACAACCTGTGCGGTAGTCATGTTCAGAGTCAAAGTGAGTTGTATCACGTCAGTTAATGGTTTTATACTCTGGTTATAGATCTGATTGGTTAATTACGTCGCGATATGTTATTGGTCGTCTGTCAGTTAAACCGTGATGTTATTGTTTAATTGGCTATGAAGACTCGTAATCAGTAATTGGAGCGTTTCGATCCGTCTACTGTCACAGCTACACCGTCGTCTATTGATAGTTAAATTGTCAGTTCTCAAGTCGTGCGTTCTCTCGTAGTTAGTTTTGCTTGATCTCATCAATGAGTCGTCTGTACCGTGCTGGTAACTGTTGGTTACGATTCAATGGCGTTTGTTCTAAGTTAGTAAACCAGCTTTCTAAAGAAAGTCGTTGATAGTAGTCTTTAGAATACGCTATGCATGTTGCAGAGTTCCAGTCGATTTGGTGTTCCGTCTGTAAATGGTGCTCAGCAATGTGATTGTTGACGTCACCATTTTCTCGCTGCTCGGTTGTGTTCGGTCAGTCGTTTGCTAAGGTTTTCTGCCGGTTTCACAAATGTAAGTAGCCTGGAAGTCGCAGCATTTGATCTTGTCTAGTCTGCTCCCTGTCTGTCCTCCCCTTTGTCTTTATCCTTGACATCAGTAAGTAGTCGTCGTAAAGTGTTTATCGGTTTGTGTGCAACACGTATATTGTAAGGTTGTAGTTTCAGAGGTGCCTCTGATGTACGGTATAGTCGCGGCTGTCGTAACAAAGCCAGAGTTGACGTTGGTCTGAGTGTTGGATTCAGTGTTACTGTGAGTGTTCCGTCTAACAAAGTCCGCTGTTTAGGTAGTCAGTCTATATAGTAGCAGTCTTATCAGAGGCCCAGTTGTTCGATGACTGGTATAGTAATCGGTCGGTATGACTGTGACCGGTCATCGTACAACTCTTACAATATACCTGTTGCACGCAAACCGAACTGCTGTCACTGTTGTCATGTTTTAAAAATATAACTTTAAATCAAAATGTATACCTCTATTTGAAACCACGAACTACCTACCCCCCCAAAAAAAGGGTGCTTTAAACTATCAAAATCCATCGTCAAGCCTTTTCTGTCGCCTAAGTTGAGCAAAACGTCCCTAGCTCCAGGACTATATGATACAAACTTCTTTCCTTAGTTTCTTGCTTCGATAATCCCATTGGTGTAGCTGACTCTGAAATTATCCCTAACGACCAAATGACTGCTTCAACAAGGTATTCTGGTCATCCTGCTTATCACGGTAGACTTCATTACCCTAACAGCGCCTGGTGTGCAAAAGACAGTGCCGAAGATGAAGATTGGCTTCAAATTGATCTGGGAACCACATATGAAATATGTGGGGCTGCTACCCAAGGGACTGGAAACCAGAAATACAACGAATACGTAACGAAATTCAAATTGTCTTACTCCTCTGATGGAAGCAGCTGGACTATGTATACTGGTACTGGAGGCTCAGAAACGGTAGGAAGCCAGAAAGTTATAAATTGCAAAAATATGGCAAAATTTCGAAGCTTTGCAAAAACGCTGCCATATAGTTCTCTTATGATTTGTTTTCCTTCCGTTCAAAAAAGATACAGATTGCCAAATGTTGTTTGCTTCCTGATTTCTTTTTAAGGTACATTTTTTTATAAACAAAAAATTCAAGAGAGGGTATCTGCAGAAGTTTCACCATATTCGGCCTCTTTTTCGAGCAAAGTAAATCAATGTGAATAAATAAATGTACAGCATTTATTTTAAGCTGTCATTTTTTTTATACAATTTAACGGACCAAATCAAAACAAGAGCACGCTGGATTTTATTTCAGTTAGAGTTTTTAGTGAACTAAGTAGTTAGCGAAACTTGGCCACCCAACGCCATATAAGTGGTTGCAATATCGTGTTTTTAAACACGATATTGCAT